GGTCTTCCTTACTCATTGTCCAGCTCTTCACATGCATATGAGGCGACTGAAAATATCATAGCTTTGGTCAGGCATATCATAGTGCTCAAAGAGATATCTTTGCTTTTTAACACTTTGAAGAAGTCTTTTGCAGCCGATTTGCCCGGTGTGATACATTTAACTTTTATCTTCCTGACTGCTGCTTCCATGGGTGTTGATTATGGATCTAAGTAAAATGAAATCCTTAACAACTTCAGTCTTTTCTCTGTTTATCATGATGTTACTTATTGGCCCACTTTTGAGGATTTTGTTTCTGAATGTTGAGGTGTAATCCATACTAAAGGCTATATATAGTCATTGATCTTCATCAAGAAATGCTTCAAGTCCTCTCCACTTTCAATAAGCAAGGTTGTGTCATCTGCACATCGCAGGCTGTTCTTAACACTTCCTCTAATCTTGATGCTTCATTCTTCATATAGTCCAGCTTCTTGGATTATTTGCTCAGCATACAGATTGAATAAGTATGGTGAAAGGATACAACCCTGGTGCATACCTTTCCTGATAGCATAGTTCCTAAGGTACTTGACTGCTAACCAGAAGGCTGGAGGTTCAAACCCACCGGCCACTCCTCGGAAGGCAGATGGGGCAATCTATTTCTGTAGTGACACTGCCTCGGAAACCCAAGGAGGGGTCGCTATGAGTCGGGTCTGACTCAACGACACATAACAATAACAACAAGTATCCCTTTGTTCAGTTCAAATGACTGTTTTTGGTCTATGTACAGGTTCCTCATGAGCACAATTTAATGTTCTGGAATTCTCATTCATAAGGAGAGAAGGAGGGTGAAAATACAGGACTAAGAGTTGGGGCCTGGTGTTCTCATCATAGCCCTGCAACTTCCCGTAGGACCTTAGGCAAGTGTGGGCCTAGGAAGACCCCTGTAGAATATGTAGAGACCTGATACAACACCTCCAGGGGAATTTCTGTCTTATTAAAAAGTCAGTAACATTTTTTTTTTTTTTACAATTTTTATCATGTATACGCTTGTGTATATGTCTCCTCAAAGTCCCTGGGTGGCACAAATGGTGAAGGGTTGGGCTGTTAACCAAAAGTTTAGCAGTTGGTTGGAACCCACCAAGAGGCCCCTTGAAAGAAAAACCTGGTGATCTGAGGCACCTCTGGTTGGATGTCAACCTCCATACTTTCAGCCAGCAGTCCAGTCCTTAACCATGTGCACTACACATCCTCCTCCATAAAGATTATATCCAAGAAAAATCTATGGAGCATTTACACTCTGTAACACATAGGTTCGCCATAAGTTAGAGTCAACTCCACTGCGTCTTAAGTATGTCTAACCAACTAGAGGATAAACTTTCCAAGTGCATTAATTTGTGTATTCATTCCACATGTCTTTATTAAGTGCCCAAGAAAGACTTTTACTCAAATCAAGGGAATAATGAATGTTACAGACATTAGACTAACAGCCATGAGGAAAGCCACTG